AAAATTGCAAGTGAGACAATGAAATCAAATCCAGATCCAGTTTGGGTGACGGATGAATGTGTTGGAAGGATTATCAGATGCCTACGCGAAACACCAGTTTATGACTGACAGAAATTGAAAGAATTTTGGAAAAGTATCACTGTGGCAATCAGCAGAAAAGTTAGAAAAGAATTCAACTGACATCTACGTTTTTGCTGAAATGTATGAGGTAGTTTACTATTCTTTATTCAGTTCTGTTTTCAATTCTCAACACAACACACATAGGCAAACGAGCGTAGGATCTCTTAGTCCAACGGCAAAACTACACATGACTTCAAAGGGGTTTGTATTTGTGTTTAGTGTCCCTGTGACATGCTTTAATGTGCAAAAAGCTCTTTATTTCTCTCATACTGCCTGTGCTGCAGCACCTCTTTTCACCCTCTGTCTGATTCCAGAGCCCAGTCTGCTCTGGTTGGTTAGCTGGCCGGATCTGTTGTGATTGGTCAACCGCTTAGAGATGTCCCGCCCCTTAGCCTTCCACAAACAATATGTGTGAGTGTTACATAGTGATTTTCATTTCATTTCAAGCCTTTATTTACCCAGGTGTATCCCTTGAGATCATTGATCTCTTTTTCAAGGGAGACCTGCTCAAGTAGGTTCCACATGAAACATAAAACAACAGAACAACAAAAAGGACATCATACAGCATCATTCCAGGGATTTACAATTAAGCAATCATACACGAGAGGCCGTTCTTGAACGTCATTATTGGTACGACAGTACTGCGGCAGGACCGAGGCGCTTGTGCCGAGGTCCGTACGCCTGTACTGGAGTCAAGTGTATGATTGCGATTCTATTAAACAAACTATCATTGTAATCAACAATATCGTAAAATAATTTCATAATGTGGGCTAATTTGCTCCCAAACCTACGCTTTCTGCTTGAGTTAATCTCCGTCAGAAAGTAGTTCCTAGAAAGTAGTTCCCATGGTAACGATAGCCTTTTTTCCAACGCACTCAACTCGTCAGTTGAAACAGCCGCAAATCTTTCGTTGGTTTTGTGGTCTGTGTTCCATGTCCAACCATTCATCAATACTGAGGCCCCCCAACAAATCAAAATTAGCTTTAAAATCTGACATTTTGTAGCTACCGATTTCCAACGAGAGACAATGTATAACAGTGTAACGGCTGTGTGTCGCTAAACGTCGCTATGGAAACCACACGATGTAGGCTCATGGAAGTAGTTTCGGTAGGCTAGTGGCGTGTGTAGGCCACTGGATACTTTGTGATTAGGCATGTTCTATTTGATCGTTGTTTGATCGTGGAATCAAACACGCCTATTGACCAATCAGAGAGCTTGCTCAAACCTATGTGTTATAGAATTTACAATAACCATCCACATGAACAGGTACAGCTTCCGATTGAGTAGCATCCAACCGAGCTTTAAAAACATTTAGTGGCACCAGATTGCTCAGTTTCCATTTAATTTGCAGACTATTCCAAGACAGTGGAGCTGCGCATCTAAATTCTATCTTCCCTAAGACAGTCCTAGCAGTTGGCACGTTTAATAAAACCACAGCATGCGATCTCAGGCAGTAGCCACTTACAATTCGCCGTGAGATCAGGGAGCAGATGTAGGATGGAAGTTTCCCTAACATGGCTTTGTATATAAAAATGTACCATGATGTCACAGGCATTGGAGGAGTTTGTGGGAGAGAGTAACCTTTGTAGACCATTTAAATTAGGGATGCCAGAAACTAACCATGATCAAATTCGAAAATCGGACAGCCCTGGCGAATATTAATCGATTATTCGCCGCCGCAATACTATTGTTAGCATTAGTCTATATTTTGGTTGAAACTAAGCCAGGAAAAAAAAACAAAACATAAATAATAATAAAGAAATATATAAATAAAATCGAATTTTAAAAATAATTTTCGATTATGGAGACTGTAACGAATATTAGAAAAATCGAATAATCGCTGACATCCCTAATTTAAATACGCAAAAACCTATGACACTCTACAGGAAAGGGAAAACTCCTTTAAGTTAGAGCCGTATTCTAACATAGGTTGAAACATATTCCATATCATTCCAATGCACAGAACTATTGGTTTGTGTTAACTAGCTACATGTCACACTTTACTGTATGCTGTTTTTCATTATTATTAATGCATATCCCCCGGACAAGACTTTTTTGAAAGTACTTTACATCGCATTTGCACTTACAGTATAAGCACAGCAGAAAATGCTCTAATATATCACGAGAATTAATTGTGCCAAAACCTTAAAATGCAGCCAAGAAGGGGCGGCAATAACTATCTCGTTTTTTTATGTGCTTCAAAAAAAAAAAGAGTCCACTTTGGTGCTGGTCACGGTGGATTGCCCACAGAGACTCTGAATACACCCTACCTCCTCCAGTCCTTTTCATCCTATGGGCTAGAACTCCCGCATTTAAGGAAAGCCTCATATCACAGCTCCCACATCTTCCTCCTTCATTCACTTTAATTTGCTTTCTCTTCTCCCAGCGGCAACTACAAATACAACTGCTGTTATTCTCAGGTTGGCTCTTGTTATTATTCTCACGTCCCCCCACTCTTGAAGTAATTCTACCGTTGCTCATTGTGAGTCTCCCTGGATAAGAGCGCCGGCTAAATGCCTCAAATGTAAATGAAATTGTAAAAGAATCTCTCTAAAAGTCAAGCAAGTGAGCAGTAATTGTCAGTGCAACAGAAATAATAAAATAGCGCCGGTTTGAAACAGCTGTGGGACGTACCGCAGATGATCATTATTACAATTAATTTGACAGTGATATAATGTAATAATCCATCTCTGATTCTCTAAGAAGCATGATTTACAGGTTTTTATACAAGATGGTGCACAAATCTTTAATGTTTACTGTCTTCAGCAATCTAACATCGCTATTCATTAATATGTGGCCAAGCATTAAAATTAAAGGCATAGAAGGATTTTGCCCAGAGCAACTTATAATAGAGTCGTGGCTGAACCTGTCTCTGCGGTCCGGCCTGACTCTCATCACTACTTCCCTGATGGCTCCCGCAGGGTTGTTGACATCCTCGTGGATTCATCTTCCTATTATAGACACATGCATTTCCAACATTTGGACTACCTATGTTGTAAATGTATTATCTATAGCAGGGGTTCCCAAACTTTTCAGCCCGCGACCCCCAAAATAACAGTGGACTGTCTAAGAAAAAAAGTCTATACAAACGTTATTATTATTAAATTAATCAATTTTTTTTAATAACTTTTTTTTTTTTCACTTTTACATTTTTATTTTGTAATCATCTCGCGACCCCCACTTTGGGAACCCCTGCTCTATAGTACGTCTGTCCGTCCTGCTCTCCCTGAGGTTTCTCCATGTTCCCCTTTAAACTGTGGGGTTTTCTCCGGAAGTTTTTCCTTGTACGATGTGAGGGTCTAAGGACAGAGGGTGTCGTATTGTCATACTGATATTCTGTACAAACTCTGAAGTCCACTGAGACAAATGTAACATTTGTGATATTGGGCTATATAAATAAAAATTGATTGATTGAGAATAAGAGTATGCTAGTTCCTCCAGCTGCTCTGTTGATCTTCTATTGTCACAATTTGAGCTCTTTGTCATTACATTACTTGTTAGATGCTTTTATCCAAAGCGACTTACATACTCAATACTGTGGACAATCCCCACAGGAGCAATTTGGGGTGAAGTGTCTTGCCCAGGGACACAACGACATGCTGACTGCAGTGGGATTTGAACCTGTGCTCCCCTGATCCGAACACCAACGCACTAGTCCACTGCGCCACACGGCATCCTTTGTCAAAATAAGCATGAGCACTCCTGACAGTGATATGGTGAATAACACTCACACCTGTAGCTGCCACCTCCTTGGTATCTCTGTCCCTTTCTGCCACCTGCTGCCGTCTCATCAACAACCCTCTCCCCCACCCCGTTACGTCCCTGGACCCCCGTCGACTTCAAGCGAAGAGGCCTATTTTCATGTGTCCCCTCACCCACATCCACCCTCTCTCGGGAAGATAAATACACACTGCATTAATTCAGCCATGTCTTTGCAGACTTCAGTCAAATATTTTCTCTTTTTTTACTCTCTTTGGGGACTCAAGGACTTTCAGCAGAGGGTCCCTCTGCTTACTTTGTACTCCTGGGTGGGATATTTCCATTTGAATGAACGCGTACGGGTCGGGCTTTAGATATCTCATCTTCAGACACACGTGTGTATTCCTGAAGGTTCTCTACCTGCATGGATTTTTTAACAGCAGATGTGCAGACTTCATTGAGCATTGTATGTGCATGCATCTGCAAATGTTATGATGCTAAACATGTGTATGTGCCGGAGGGTATTTATGAGCGTAGTGTGTAATGCATACCTATCATCTCAGTTCAATGAGGTAGTGCAAGTCTTGAGTCTCTAAACTTTGGAGTCTCTATATAAAAGCAGACTCCGAGTCCCCCCCCCCTCAACCTTGCCCGGAGCGCTGATGGGATGAAAAATAGATAGAGGTCCCAAAGGAAGGGGGGAAAGGTCCATCTGTGAGCTGCATTCAAGGACAACAGTGTTATTCATTTTGGAACAGCATGAAACAAGCCAGTGTTTTCAGTTGGGTTTTGGAAATGCGAGCTTCTGGATGAACTGTGGCTGCCACTGTTGTCTTGCCAAGCCAACTGTGATGTTGCAGATTAGATGCGAATCATTGACTCGTTGTTGGTATCCGCGCGGCTCTTCTCATTCAGAGTGAGAGATAATGAACAAATGTGACTGATTGTTTTTGATCAGTGTCGCGGTGAATTACTGCAGCAACAGGGATTGTTTTGCAGTATTCATAAAAGCTGCGTTTAATGTCATTTTATGTGATTCAGCCCGGAGGTGTTGGGGTTTGGTTATACCTATTAATCTCTGTTTTGTTCTTGTTTTCTCTTCTTCACGTCTTCTGTTTGCTCCTCCATCATTTGACTTCTACGTTTACCCCCTACGTTCTCCTTTCTTTCCTCTCTTATAGAACCAGTTCAACCTGATGATGTCAGCCCGTGTCCCTCCGTCCACCCTGGGCAGTCTGCTGCTGGCGGTCCTGCAGGGCAGAGACGGGGACCGGGACAGAGGGGGCCGGGGGGACAGCGGCTTGGGAGGAGCTGCGGTGGTCTGCCCCGGATGGGAGGAGGGGGGTGAAGGGTTGCTGTCTCACCTGCAGAAGCACAGCGGTTCTAACTGGCATTTGTGGGACATCATCAACCTGACCCTCATCTCGGGGGGTGGGGACAGAAGGGTGGAGAGCGGGGAGGAGAAGAAGGAAGATCAGAGGGAAGAGGAGGCTTTTAAGATCCTATCTGGCCGCTTCTTGCGCTCCCCCTCCCCTATCTCCTCCGTCCTCCTCCTGGGATCTGACCCCGAGTGTCTCTCCTCCGTCCTGCGGGCTGCTCAGCGTCTCGCTCCATCACTACCAGCGCTGCAGTGGATCATGGGATATCCCTTGTCTCCGGATTCGCTCCACACTCTAGGAGGTCCCCTTGGACTGCTAGCCTACGGGGAGGTGGGCCGTAAGCCAATCAGCTTCTACATCAGGGATGCTTTGCAGTTGATTGGACGTGCGGTCACTGCGGCAACCATGGTGAAGCCGGACCTGGCGCTGATTCAGAACACGGTGAATTGTTACGACAAAAAACGGCATGAGCTCCCCTCTTCAGGACAATATCTGGCCAGGTAAATGCACACTCTAAGTACTCATTCATGGTCAGTCCACCCGCATTACAGGAAAACAGATGTTCTCCCTATAACCTCTGGCGGTATCTTCCTATGCAGATAATTTTTGTGCAACTCCAATTAAAAAGTGCAATTAAATCAAATTTTGCAATGAAAAAATCAGCATATGTTACGAACCCTGTAGGCGTATGAATGCTGGTAATGGAAGCATCACTCTGCTGATGTATTGCTAATCGTTCGGTGCTGATGAAAGTAAAAGTTACAGAGCGACAGGCTTTCTGCTCATTACCAGAATACAAAAGCTCAAAGAAGGAGAAAAAGTTAGGGGAGCAACAAAGAAAAAGGCTGCAGGTGACACTAAATCTTTAAACAAAGAAAACAAAATATGCTTCCTAAGTCATCATAATACCACCGACTCACAACAGCTGACTGAAAGAAACGTAATCAAATCTGGCAGCATTTGTCGAAAGGAAACACACTCTAGCATCTACACAGAACAAGTAGACAGTCAAATTAAATACGTTTGTTGCCGCCATAATGAAAAACTGAACCAGTTAACCTTATACACGTTCCAAACGACTGAGTTAACTTCTACAGAGACTTTGAGGAGGTCGGCTCAGTTTAAATCACATCCTCCCCCCGGGCGCTTTCAAGAAGCAGCTTTTATCAGCTTGGGCGGTAGATCAGAAAGAGCCAAAGACGAGAGGGACCGGGGCGTAAATACTGGCGAGAGGTCTAGAGGCGTTAACCGTGGGGGGGGATATCTACTGTGGAGAAGGTGAAATCTTAACTACACTGTTGAGAGACAGAACATAATGGGCAGAGGTGGGAAGTAGTGGAGTACAAATACTTCGTTACTGTACTTAAGTAAATTGTTCTGGTGTCGGTACTTTACTCCACTACTTATTTTTCTGACAACTTTCTTTTTTTACTTCTTACATTTTTAATACAAATACCAGTACTTTCTACTCGTTACATTTTCAAAACCGGTTCGTTCCTTTAGTTTGAATGTGTGTTTGGTGGCGTGACCATTATTATTTAGAGTCATTGCGTGCCTATTGATTTGAACACGATCCGTGTATCCATCACTTCCTGGTCTTCTCTAAAGAAGAGGGACCAATGAAAACGTTGCCGTTGTTCAGCATGGAAACATTCATTAGTTAACAATGACATTATTGTTCTATTAATATAAAGGGAGGTCAGGTACTCTTTAAAACAGCTGGTAGATGTGGGTAATTTTTATACTGAAGTACATTTCAAAGCCCATACTTCTTTACTTTTACTTCAGTAAAGAAGATTAGTCAGTATTTCTACTTTTACCAAAGTATTTAAACACGAGTATCTGTACTTCTACTTGAGTAAAGGATGTTTTTCCTTTTGCCATCTCTGTATATGGGCATATATGAGCATAAATAAGAAAGTTAAATTGTATTTATTTTTCTGACATGAGTGTTCTGTTCGCCCTACATTAGTGTTCTTAATTGTCTTCTGTCCTGACTGACATATGAGCCTTTGCTCAGTGCAATTTATGACTCAAGCACTCCCTATGTTACTACATGACTATGCACATTACTCTTGTCATGATTCGAATGACACAGTGACGTACTAAGTGCTGAGGTTAGAGGTCTTCGTGCTCACTCGGTGACAGTCTGGTCACTTGCCATTATTCTGGCTGGACCCGTGAAGGAGAGACAGTTCAGGTTAGCTAGACCCCTTTGAATTATGTAGGATGTGTCTGCAATATTAACCTCCACCCATCTACAATGGAGGTAAATGCACAAAATGTACTTAGTGTTGTCCCTGTATAATCAACAGTCCTTACTTCCCCACTTTTAGTATGTACATTTGCTTTTATAAAACCTACATTTTAAATGTAGTAACTGTGTACTTAAAGGTGGGGTAGGTAAGTTTGAGAAACCGGCTCGAGATACACTTTTTGTTATATTCCATGGAATGCTCTTAACATCCCGATAGCAATGAATATCTGAAGTGCTTTGACAAAAAATCCATAAAAAAATATCATCTGTGGAAGCTCTGGCGCTGTAAAAAGCACGACCAATCATCTGAGCCGGCCCGGCTAAAATAACTGGATGGCCTACCTGCCTGTCAGCCTTCCATCTGTGCACAAACTTATCTCGTGCCCTCATTGGTCATGTGCGCGTTCGTGTGTGTTGGAGATTTTTTCCGGCTGTGTATTTTCAAATTCTAGCGCACTCGAGCTGGTTTCTCCAAAATTACATAAAGCACCTTTCAGATAAAGAGGGCCCTCCTTCAATGCTTTGTCTGCCCTTTCCTGTAGTGTGTGACGAATCACGACAGAGTCGGCCAGCTAACCAATCAGAGCAGACTGGGCTCTGGTTTCAGACAGAGGGTGAAAAGAGGTGCTGCAGCACAGGCAGTATGAGAAAAATAAAGAGCTTTTTGAACATTGAAGCATGGAGACATGTCCCAGTAGAGACACAAAATATAAATCTGACAAGCAAAATAGGCCCCCTTAAAACAGACCAATATTAGTTTTGTGGCACTTCTCTAAAGATCAGGAGGGCTGTCCGCTTCAGAGTAGTACCCGGCAGCAGGGAGAGATTTGTGGATGTTAGAAAAAACGTATCCCTCCTCCAAAAATGAAATACATAGCTTTAAGCCACATAGAATTGGCAGTGGCCTGATCGGGATTGGACCACAATCACTCTCTATAACCCCTGCAGCAAATAGGCCAAACAGTTTTTCTTTAATACCTCCTGGTCACGTAAAAATGCTTAGCTATTTCCAAAAGTGTACACAGTTAAACCACCGAATGATAGATGGAAGACACTAACAAACTACAATTAAATTCATCGAGTCACAACACTACATTTTCTTTAAGCTCGTTAGCTTCCTGACTGACACATTGGCCTTTGTGTGGGGAGCTGCTGGCTCTACTTGTGGTACTGCATGCTCTGGATGCTGCCCTTGTCTGTCCTCTGCTCCACGGGGGTGGCTCTTTCTGAATAGCGCTGTCATCCTCGTTGTGGGGAGGAGGTCTTTATGGCATACAGATCCAAAGAGTGGCACCAGGGAGTTTTGTCTGTTCCTCTTCGTTCCTCTGCTGCTGCTTCAATTCCTGCAGCTTTTAAAAGGGTTCTGTCAAGGTGTGTTTTGTGATAACGCTTACACACGCGCAGTAAAAAATCACATTGAAATACCTATTAAACCATCAATATTGTCACTTAAAACAGAAATGACTTAATCCTGACATGTGTGCACAGTAAAAAGTGTGTGGGGGGGGGGGGAACCCACTTGCATACATTACAACCCCTCCATGTGGCTTATATTGAGTGCAGCACAGAAGCCAAATGCCATAGACTCACTCCGGAGTCGAGTATATCTCCTCTGCAGGTTGACATTGATATTGTATCGCTGTGCAAAGGATAAAACAGCATGTATCCGACTTTTGTGGTCATGTGGATCCGGTAAGAGAAGGATTTGTGGCATGAGCTGGGCCCACAGCAAATATTGAACACACACACAGTGCCTGCCAGCTGAGAGTGATCATCAACACCACCCACATAATCACAAGCTGGGTTCTCACAGCCTTTCCTCCGTCTGCAGTTAACTTGAGCTCTGGGATGCCAAGGCAATTTGGCATGGAGGGCTAGAGGCGGAAATAAGTGGAATGTGGTTACAAAGCAATATTATCGGACATTTATTATCCAAGTTTACACATCTTGATTAGCTTTAATGTGATTAAATTGCCCAATTTTTGGCCATGCTAGCAAAGCACAGCCTAATGGATAGCAATGTCTGATCAGTTGGTGCAGATAAAAACATTTTTAAAGGCTCTTGAATGGATTGTTTTTTAATTGGAAGGACATTAATGGTCCCTAGAGGTTGAAGCTTACTATTCCGCTGACTTTTCCTGTCGCGCATTAACCTTAGGATGACCTTTAAAATGTGTAGGTAAAATGTCTTGATAGCGATTGACAGAATTGCCATGAAATTTGATATTCAAGAGCAACACTGGGTGAATGGTATTAAGATGTTTGTATCCCTTGACTTTCAATGTAGTGGCGTCATCTGACGAAAAAAATATTTATCAAAAGAATTGGTTTTGACCAAATAAATTCAGATTGAATTTAATGATCTTCATTGAAGTGCATTTTATAGTTGGGGCTAATCAGAAAATGTTTGCACGCTAATTTACTAATCCAAGAGATTACCCAAGGTGAATATATTATACCTGCTAAATATCAGTATCTAACATTGTCTTCATGAGCGTTTAAGAATGCCTTACGGAGCAGTAAGTGTGGCTATACAAGAAAGAACACAAAAAGTAATGCTTTTAAATTCACTCAAACTTCCTCAGGACACTGCTGTGGGCCAATTAGTACGACCCACAGAATAGACCATTTATTAAAGAGTCCGCCCCAATTTAGTGACTTTGTTTCTGGCCTGTGAAAGACTGATAAAAAGGTCGTTCCATCGCATTATTCATACGGGTCCAGTTAGAGTCCACCTCCTCCAGCGTACTGCCCGATCCTTATCCCAACACCGCAACAGCCTGACATGCTTTTGCTCAGGAGAGCTCTGACAAAGGAAGTGAGAGACTTCCACAAGGAAAAGGCAATTAACAGCTCAATGCCGTAGGGAAGGAGCGATGAAGGCAGGGAGGGAAAGAGGATGTCTGGAGATATAAGGATGAGAGGAGGAAGGTGTGAGCGTGAGCAAAAGCTGCACAATGGTACTGACTCAAAGCAGTGGACATATGGAATCGAGCCACAGTAAAAATATGAGAAACTAAGCACTTTTGATGTAGTTCTTCCGAATGTCCAGAATACAAACATCCCCAGAGGCCTGTTCCCAAAAAGAGAGAAAGTAGTCAAAGACAAACAGATGGATGAAAGACAAGGGAAGAAGGAAACGGAAAATAGCAATAAAGTCAAAGAAAAGGAAAAAGAAACTTGTGTGGGAAAGGATGTGAGGGAGGAGATGACGGTTGGAAATGGACGGGGGATAGTTTCTTATCAGAGTGAGATCTGCCAGTCAGTGCCATCTCACTCGACACATCTGCCAGCACTGATTCCATCTCCCTCGAAGAGATTAAAAGCATTGAAACAAGCAAGCTTCCTATCATCCCTGGCAGACAGAGTAAACTTTCCTCCAAAGTGAAGGAGATGTAGTGATACGGGAGTGAGACACATGCCGGGGACTCTCTTATAGAGTCATCGTTTACCGGCCACTCTGCTGACATTTACTTCCTGAGTGTGTGTGTGTGTGTGTGAGCCGGGGCGGCCAGGTGTTGGTGAGAGGAAACCATTCCTCTCTGACACCACTTGGCTGACTTATCAAACCGCTTCATTCTTTAAATGCAGCCTCTGGCCCGATGCACCACAACAAAACCCCGTGACTAACAGGCGGCGCTTCTTGAAAGTGTGCCGTACTTTTCACACCCCATGCTCTGATGTCTGTATCTACCACTCCTATCTCAAACTCTTATCTCCAGGCATGAATTCAAAAATGTGACAAATTGCAAGAGAAGGGGGCTTGGCACTTCTCTGCTCACATAAGAGATGTAAAGTGAAGGCTATGGTTAATTTTTTTTTGTGGCCAGCCGCAGCCATTACGGTCTAGTATATGAGTCTGGAGTGGGTTGGCTTGATGAATCTGCTGTCTATGGGATATGATGATTCAGCCGCGCCATTACCATGAGTGATTTCAGCTCAAGGCAAGGCTAGCACTTCCGCTTTATGGTCACAGAGACAGAGGGAGCTGCTGATGAGGAAACATAAGTTAGCATGCAAATGGGATGACTTTCAAATCAGAGGCATTTTTTTTAATCAGCTCTTTAGAATTATGGTGCATTGAATGGGTTTGTAAATTGATACTGGGCTGTTGAAGTAAATCACAATGTAAAGAAAAAGGGTAATTATCAAAAGCATGAGTAGAATACTCAAAATTGTACATACTTTTACATGTGTTAAATTCTCTGTTTGGTGCAGGCATGATTTAGTCCAGCCTATGCTTGGAGGTGAAGTTAATGGTCCTCATGATCGATTAAGTCTTTTTATTTCCCCTCACATATCCCATATTTGATGTTTCCCTTGCTCTATACGCCTCATCAATTCAACATATAACTTGGGCATGAAAGAGGGAGAAAAAGAAAAGTGCGAATAAAACAAAGAGAAAAAGGGAAATCTATTTTCCTGCTTGGAGAAATTGAGCTACGGCTTTTCTATTAACAGGAAGGAAAACTTGCCATTTCTTTCCGTGACCCAGACATAATCAACAGTCCGTGCACGGATCAACTCCCATATAGAATGCACTGATCCCTGCATACTTTAACATTTAAACATCTGATACACAATGACCTCCTGACAATCCCCTACTAATCAAGACATGATCAAACAGTACTTGAAGGGATTCACGTCGAGACGACATCGCCTGGAGATGTCCATATGATCAAATGCTAAGACGTGAGCTAACAATCCCAGCACGGTTCAAGAGGCCAGGGCAGTTTTATGTGCGAACGGGAATTGCTCTTACTAATTTATTCCGCTGTGTGAGGTCCAATGTGGGGCCACCGGGCGAGTGAGATGAATGGCAATGACTGCCTGTATGGACTGGCAGATAGGAGCGGGCCCTCACTGCACTACATTAACTTTTAATTATGACTTTCTGTGAGACGCAATTACCCATCTGAGACCAGGCGAAAGCTCCATAACCATATCATGATCCATCTGAAACATCATTTGTAACATTTTCCCGGCCTCTCCCCCAGATTTGTGTGTTTATTTTTCCGCCCTGCTAGTTAAGTGTCGTCGGTGATGGAGGAAGATCCTTTACTTGAGTAAAAGTAGAAATACTATGGTTGTTAAATACTCCATTACACGTAAACTTCGTTATTCCTATAGAAGTACAGAATTATTACTGCCAAAATGTACTTGAAGTATCAAAAGTAAAAGTACTCAAAATGCAGAATGGCTGTATGTACATGTATAGTGTTGTAATGTCAACAGGGATCCAGTTTTTTTTTAAATATTGTGTACATTAGTAGTACATTACATCACAGATTAATATCACATCAGCATGTAAAAAGTAGCTAACGCCTATGAAGGTTAAATTCATGTTGTAAAAGTAAAATATGTGCCTCCGAAATTCAGTGGAGTAGAAGTATGTAGCATTAAATGGAAATACGTTGGTCAGTAACATTCCACCACTGAGCATTGTATACGACTGCAGTCTGTATTTCTTATTAAAACAACATGGACCTTTGTTGTCTCTTGCTTAGCGTCGGTTTTTCTCTCTGTCCCTTGAGGTTTCTCTCCAACACTTCCTTCACCGGGGCCACGGGTCTCATCCAGGTGGATCCTGGCCTCTCCAGGGTCCTCTCCTCGCAGCTGTTCCACGTGTGGAGCCTGAAGAGGGGCGCGCTCGGTCAGCCGGCCTGGGTGACAGTAGGCCATTGGACCCGGGGCAGACTGGAGCTGGAAGGGGGGATTCTGGGACTGGTGGGAGGGTTCGGGAGCAGCCAGGGCCAAGGCCTCGGAGCCGGGGTGAGGGGAGGGGACGGCCAGGGGGACAGTAGCGCTGGGGGTCGCTGGAGGCCGGGAGATTCGGTCGCGGGTCACCGTCTGAGGGTGGTGACGCTGGTGGAACACCCGTTTGTCTTCACGCGGGAGGTGGACGAGGACGGGTTGTGTCCAGCGGGTCAGCTCTGTCTGGACCCCAGAACCAACCGGTCCGACCTTATCCAGAACCTCTTCACCCAGCTGCACAACCCCAACGCCACCATCACAGACTGGGAGGGAGCAGGTGAGTTTTGCTGTGCCATTTATCCTTAAAATACCTTAGTGTTGAAGCAATGCTGAAACCTCCTGTAATACCTGTCCAAACCGTATTTCAACTTGAGGTATGAGGCATCAGTTATCATTTATGAAAACCTTTTCTCTATTTTCTCTAATGTAAACTGTTAGATCTCTGCTTAGATCTCATTGATACATTGCTGTGAAATTCTGTACAACTCCTACTCAAGATTGAAGTGGATTTTTTAAAGAAAAATCAATAAGGGATCATGGCTGGTCAGTCCGGCTCAAAAATATACTAGGTGCAATGTCAAGGCTCAGCTCTACCGCTACAGCTTAATTTCTAGGATTAAAGGCATTTTATAAATAAGTGATGAACACCATCGTGTCAAAGAAATACAAGGTTATATATCTCTGAGTATTGGCAGTGCAAACAGGCAGTCTACGGGATTTTTTACTTTCTTTGACTTCAATCGGCAAATGGAAGTTGGCTAATAAAAGTTGTATTGAGGATGACATAGGAATTCACAAAATGACAGACCTCTGTGCCAAGTTTTAAGAGTAATTGGCAAACTGCTGAATTTTGATTGTCTGAGTTTGCAAAAAAGGTTTGCCAGAAAAATATAAATGGCATAAAGTTTAAATATATATTTATATTTTACAGCCTCTCTATCTTGCCAACTCTTTTTTATTTTGTAATATACGTGGTTCAAAGGTTTTTGTACATTCTGTACATCTTCTCGTAGCCCAGTTTAAGAGTGATTTAGTGTGCTGGTGTAAATAAAAGTGTCTTTCTTTTAAAACAAATTTTACATGAGCGAAAATCAGCAATCAGCAGTAATTCTCAAATACTGTTCTTAAGTACAATTTTAAGGTACTTGTACTTTAACTGAGTATTTTAATTTCATGCAGTTTATAATGTACTCTTCTATATTTGAGAAGACAATATTGTGCTTTTAAATCCACTACATTCATTTGACCACTTGGTTACTTTCAGATTATTGCCTAATACTAAATATATATCATAATAAATAAACATTGACACATAATTATAGGTTATTCAGCATTAGTGTATACATTCATTACAATTAGCTCCACATTTACCAGCGGTGATGAGACTGATAATAATATTATTATAATCCAGTAATTTAATTTCTATTATTCTGAAATGGTACTTTTGGTACTTCAGTATATTTTGATGCCAGTACTTCTTTGCTTTAACTGAATTATGATGTAACTGAGTATTTTTTACAGATTAGTATTCATACTCTACTTAAAATATGAGTACTTCTTCCACCTCTAAATATACACATTACATTATTATCATGTCTTTTCTGTCAGACCTACCGGAGGACCTGAGGAAGTGTTGCTACGGTTACTGCATCGACCTGTTGGAGAAACTGGCTGAGGACATGGGTTTCACCTTTGACCTTTATATTGTGGGAGACGGGAAGTACGGAGCAGTGGGGGGGGCGGGGCGCTGGACGGGGCTGGTCGGGGACCTGCTGGGGGGAACAGCAGACATGGCGGTCAGCTCCTTCTCCATCAACTCAGCCAGGAGCCGAGTCATCGACTTCACCTCGCCCTTCTACTCCACCAGCCTGGGCATTCTGGTACAGTCACTTGAAGTCATAATTACTTTGTTGCATGTTAATGGGGCCCTATCATGCTTTTTGGGATTTCCTTTCCCTACAGTATGTGTGTTATATAGGATTTTGTGCATCTAAATGGTCTGCGAAGGCTAAAATGCCCAAAGTTTATCTCCCACACACTCCCCCCTCCTGCCTGAAACACCTCGATTGGACCCCTTTGTTTACTCCCGTAACATAGTGACATCACCATATCACTATTGAGCTTCTATTGGCTAGGGCTCCAACACATTTTAGGTGATAGGCTAAAGGGCGGGACATCTCTAAGCGGTTGACTAATCACAACAGAGCCAACCAGCTAACCAATGGTTTGCCATCACTTACTGTACGGAGGCTCAGTCACTGGTACACGTTTATTTATAAAGCTATGTTGGGTAAACTCCCGTATTATATCTGCTCTCTGATAACACGGAGAGTTGCAAGCAGCTATTATCTGAGATCGCTTGATGTAGTCTTGTTAGATGTGCCAAGAGCAAAGACTGTCTTAGGTAAGACAGCTTTTATGTGCGCAGCGCCACTTGCTTGGAACAGTCTACAGCTAAAATTGAAACTGAGCAATTTTATTCCTCTGAATGTTTTTAAAGCAAGTGTAAGTGAAATGTTCTTTGAAACTTTGGGTATTTGTAAATGTCGATAAGTATGTAAATGTAGCTTGTAAATATGTTGTATGATATCCTCTATTGTTTTATGTTGTGTTATGTTTCATGTGGAACCTAATTGCTGCAGGTCTCCCTTGAAAAATAGATCTATGGTCTCAAGGGACAATCTGGTTAAATAAAGGTTTGAAATGAAATGAAACCAATCAGAGCAGACTGGGCTCTGGCTTCAGACAAAGTGTGAGAAGAGGTGCTGCAGCACAGGCAGTATGAGAAAAATAAAGAGCTTTTTGAACATCAAAGCATGTAAACACGTCTCAGTCGAGGCACAAAAAACAAAAATACACCTGAAAATCTGCATAATAGGGCCCCTTTAATGATTGTAGAAGACTTAAAACATACTGCATTGTAAGTCAGTGGCAGCGCGGCAGTCTTCTCATTACTTTGATTTGTCAATATATCTCTCTCTCTGGCTGACAATTTCTTTATGATTGGACGATGTGGTCTCTAAGTGCTTAATTTCCCCCTAATGCCCGGCTCACACAGTCTTCTGGGGAGGAACACGGGATCATTAGTTTTGAATAATTAGGTTGTTCCAGTTTCAGTGGACAATTATGAAAGTTCAAAATGAAAGGCACTTTTAAGAGTGTCTAATGAGTCTGAGAGGGATTTTGAGAAGCAGTCTTTGCAGAATCCTCCAACATGCTGCAGTTATTATTTGATGTGTTAACATCTCCCTCTGTGGCTGACAAACTGCAATGCATAATATGATCTGAGAATATGAAATGATGAATAGCCCAAAGTTAAAACAATGTATGCACTTGTTTTTCAAACGTAAGTATGCCTACGAGTGTTTAAGAAGAGTTTACTGACAAGATATTGCCACTGAAGGTTACATTTGTATCCCAATGTAGCACAAAATGCAAAACATGTCACTTTTGAAGTTAAAAAGCTGGTTCTTTTTTCTTTCTGACCCTCCAGGTTCGCAGCCGGGACTCTGCAGCCCCCATCGGAGCCTTCATGTGGCCCCTCCACTGGTCCATGTGGGTGGGTATTTTTGTCACGCTGCACCTCACCGCGCTCTTCCTCACCTTGTACGAGTGGAACAGCCCCTTCGGGATGACGCCACATGGCAGGAACAGGCTGCGAGTCTTCTCCTACTCCTCCGCCCTCAATCTCTGCTACGCCATTCTGTTCGGACGTACCGTCGCCACCAAGGTACAGTAGCTTTCCTTTGTGTGATAAATAGGCATTATGGGAATAGAAACTGCAGGGAAAGGAGTGGAGGGGAGCATTATTATTATTATTATATGAGTACACAAACAGTGAGTGGAAAGAGGAAGTGATAGGGGAAGACGATAGAAATGGCCAGGGAGGGGAAAAGATTGATAGGGGAGGGGTTAAGAAGGTAGGCAGTGATGAAGTGGAGAGGTGCAGGGAGGATAATGCACATACAGAGAGGGAGAGGGGAAAGGGTAAGTGGGCCGACAAAGATTGAAGGAGTTATGGCAGGGATGATGGGGATGGATGAAGGTGGGAAATGTGTGAGCGAGTAGAGGTTAACTCCCCAAGGTAGTCAGACAGAAAGTTGAAAACAAGAAGGCAGGGGGAAGAGGGCCAACGAGAAGAGGAAAGGTGAGAGTGCAAATTGGGAAATGGGCTTCAAAAAGAAAACATTAAGGATGTGGACAGAGAATCGTAAGACAGGGTTGAAAGGGTAAGTGGGCAAGCAGGGAGAAGCTTCAGAATGAGGGCCACATGGAGGTGGGCGGACAGAGGATGATGTAAGGGAGAGGGCATTGGGTTGGCATGATAGAGAGCCAGGCTGAATTCGAGAGAAACGAGAGAGAGAAAGTGATCGACGAAGACAAATGGAACTCGAGTTAGGCAAATCTGTCAATTTAAAAAATGTAGCCAGATGAAAAACGGTGTATTGCCTTTTAAAGATTAAAAAAAAAAGTACTTTCTTACCATTTGTTTAGCATGAATACGTAAGGAGATTAAATGTACTCTTGCGGTAACAGCAATCTTCAGAAACCTGTCATGTTTGACTGATGGTGTCACACAGCCGACCACCACGCCGATGGAAAACTGTCCTCTGCATTCTTTGTTTTATAAACAGCCATATACAGTGCCAACATATCCACCATTATGATAACTTATACTTGCTGTCTGAACGTTCATGCAGCACATTCTGATTAATATCTCAACCATAATTTGCTTAAATTATTCCCGTCTATCCCGGCTCCACTAAGTAAGGATACACACCATTATAAAATGTATTTAATCACACGTTGTCCCTAAAGACGCAGTCCATATGACCTGAAACAGAAGCCAAGTTATTAGGGAGACCTTCCCATAATTGAAAGGTCACAGGTTTGATCCTGGCAAACTGGCAATGTGTCAATTAACAGGTTATGCCTATTAGTAGGAGTGTGACCTATTTGAATGCCCTTGAGCAGCACTCTGAACCTCTTTGTGCTGGGACAGAGCCAAAGAGTCATGTTTATTTAAGAGGGGAGGGCAAGTAAATCATTTGCTAGACTGCTCACAATAACGTATTTCCCAGGAGACACCTGTAGTGTTCAAAGTCAAAGCAAACAAATCAAATGGAAAACTATTTTGGTCTAACAAAAGGCACACAATCAAGAGCGATGAATGGAGTGTTTCTCTTCAAATGTAGCAGTCGTACGCATGTTGTCCAACCACTAGCTTACTTCCTATTGTACCGTCACAGACAAAGGGAAGACAGATATTAAATATATGCAAATTTTGACAGAACAATAGCGAGAAACAAAAAAGTCTGGAGCGTGACTGACTGCATGCACAGAGTATTAACTGGGTGTTTATGGCAGGGCTAATCATGATGAGTGGCAGCAGGTTGCCCAACTCTCACACACCTGTCTACACTCCTACAATTAGACACACAGACACATAAGAGGGAGGGGGGAGGGGCTGTTGGCTAGGTGGAAATAGAGGTAGAAATTGAGGTCGTGACACAAGGCCATGGAGCATATCATTATTTATAATTGATTTATTTGAATAGCTTAAGACTCACAGTATTTGCTCATTGTTTGGAAGCTGGTCCTGGATACTAGGAGAGGCGGATGAAGCAGAAACCTTGAATTGTGTTAGCAGAAATAGTTCTATTTGCTAAACACTTGAGGTAGTGTTGGTCCTTGATATTTGGTCTCTTTAAACGTTAAGATAAAACACTTAAACTGTGTGGAAATATGAATACATACTGTATGTAAGCTAAGCTGCAAAACCTGATTTAGCAAGAATGGATTAACAGTCTGATCTTAGCTTTAGTCTCAATATTTTAAGGAGCAGTGTGTAGGATTTAGTGACCTCGCGTCACCCGTCCCTTTCCAAGCTTGTCAGAAAAATATGTTGGCATTTGGGTAACATAAAAGCCTTTTTTAGAGCCAATGTTTGGTGTGTCCATTCTGGGCTACACTGCTCTGCAACATAGCTCTGTGAAAACCTGCTGCCTATGTAGATATGAAGGGCGAATTATATTCTAAAAGAACACAATGACTATATTCACATTTTCCAATGAAGCCCCCCAATAATCCTACATACTGGTCCTTTAAGGATGATATCATGTACAGAATATAGTCAGCAAGTAAGAGCCCTTTCAAACTAATCTGGGGTTGTTGATTCAGCATGCATAATTAAAAATTACAAGCCCTAAATTAGAAGCCTGTTTTTGTCTAGCCTGATCAAGTACTGTAGCGCAAAAAAAAAAAAGGAATCTTCAATTTCCCTTGGTACAACAATGTCACTGAAGACGTTTAGCATATCGTGAATGCCATCCTCCCTTTCTCGCCTTTCAAATCACCGACTAATTACACAAAAAGTTGAAAACATACCCAACACCCTCGTGATAATGGGTTACAACCTTGTTTGTATAATTAATGTCTCATTAATTCCGTACCTTTGAAACACTAGAAATTCATCTCTTTTCCTCAGTTAAGTGGATTTTAATTGGTGGAATAAATAAATGATCACACTGTTCAGGTAGATCCTTTCCCCCAGGCAGGCAATTTCATGGAAAGATATTTCTGATGTGCCTCAAAGACAGTCACACTTGCATTAGCTCCGGTTTTGATTAACTTGATAACTCTTATTTGGGTTCAATTTTGAGGGGAACTCGGGGGGTTCTCCATTTATAAAGGCATCTTTTCCCACACAGTTGTATTTGTAACCAATTGAACCTCTCTTATCTCAGCTTTCTACATGTTGTTTCCTGTCTGTCTGTTTCATTTTTGTCTTGGCATTTTGACATGTTCTGTGTTACACCTTGGTATTTTTAGATTAATTTGTCATCAAGATCTGCTATACTTCTCTTCTCTGATCTGTGAAATGATTATAATAATTTGTTAAAAACCGAATCACCTAGTTTCGGCTCATCATTACCATCACTTCAGTCACATGCTTTTATCCCATGGCAATGCTGATGATGAGGTTAAATGTTGTATAATGTTTTTATTTCATTTCATTTCAAACCTTTATTTAGACAGATTGGTCCCTTGAGATCATCGATCTCATTTACAAGGGAGACCTGCATCATTTAGTTCCACATGAAAAATAAAAACAACATACAAACAAACAACAGAGCTATAATTGTTATGCTCTGAGGTTTGTATTTTGTTTTTGTCTTTGCTTTTGTTTGCATTGTAACGCCCTTTGAGGCATTTCTTGTGATTTTGGGTTATAATACATTTTGATTTGAACACAAACACAAGATTCTCTCTTGGTATGCTTCTCCCCTCTGCAGACTCCTAAGTGCTGGACGGGGCG